ACCCTTCTCACTATATTGTTCACTCGTGGGTCCTTCTCACTATTATTCTCTCGTGGGCCCTTCTCTTATTCTCTCGTGGACCCTTCTCACTATATTGTTCACTCGTGGGTCCTTCTCACTATTATTCACTCGTGGGCCCTTCTTGCTATATTGTTCACTTGTGGGTCCTTCTCACTGTTATTTTCTCGTGAGCCCTTCTCTTACTATTCTCTCGTGGGTCCTTCTCACTATATTGTTCACTTGTGGGTCCTTCTCACTGTTATTCTCTCGTGGGCCCTTCTCGCTATATTGTTCACTTGTGGATCCTTCTCACTGTTATTTTCTCGTGGGCCCTTCTCTTGTTATTTTCTTGTGGGCCCTTCTCACTATATTGTTCACTCGTGGGCCCTTCTCACAATTATTCTCTCGTTGGTCCTTCTCACTATATTATTCACTCGTGGGTCCTTCTCACTCTTATTCTCTCGTGGGCCCTTCTCTTATTATTCTCTCGTGGGCCCTTCTCACTATATTGTTCACTCGTGGGCCCTTCTCACTGTTATTCTCTCGTGGGCCCTTCTCTTATTATTCTCTCGTGGGCCCTTCTCGCTATATTGTTCACTTGTGGGTCCTTCTCACTGTTATTCTCTCGTGGGTCCTGCTTAGTGTTGTTCACTTGTGGGCCCTTTTCACTATTGTTTTCTTGTGGATCCTGTTATTAGTCTCTCGTGGGTACTGCTCAGTATATTAGACAGTTCTCTGGATCCTAGCTGCTATTTTTTTCTCACCTGAATTAAAGCACATAGTCAGTATTAATTAATAAATTTAATTCATCTCCTCTTATGATCCTCTTTTCTCTCTTTTTTTTCTGACAAACCATTACTAACAATTTATGTACATTTTTAGTTTTATTTGATCCTGACTCTATATGCAAGTGTTTATCTTTTGTCTTGTTGCTCTAGCACTTTTGGTTAGTTACTAAAATTATTTTGCATTTTACATTATACCACTTTTCTAGGTACACATATCTGATTACTGGTCAGGTATGGCCTTTATAAGACTAGTGAATACATCCGTTCTTTCTGATAGCAAGATATTGTTGCCGTGGTCTATTATTCGATTGAATGATGAAGCAATTACGATTGAAGAGTTTTACAGAGATTGTGTTGAGCCTCGATTAGAGGGTAATCATTTTCAAGTATCTTCAGCTTATGTAGGACAGGACAGAAATTCACTAGATCTTGTGGACGAACTCAGTTTACCAGTTTTATCAGTAGTCTCATTATTTGGGCCATTCCTCAGGTATTTAGTAGTTTCTACTTCTCCTTCTCCTGTACACAATGATGTATCTACACATAACTCTACTTTACTAACAGTTCAAGCTTATTCTGTAAATGAGAGAACAAGGAAAGATAAACTATTTAATGATATTGTTTCTTTTCTTGCATCAAGTTCAGTTAGCTTTGAAGAGTCAGAGTTTGATGATGGTAAACAACTACTGGTACTATTACGTGATATTTTTTGGTACATTGATGGCCATCATCATGTTTTTGAACAAAGAGCAAAGGAAATTCCCCCAGTATTTAGTTTTTTAGTTGGCTATAATGTACCTCAGCTGTCTAAGCACCGAAAGCGCCTAACAATGAATATCTCATCTGATCAACTACAAGCATACTCTTTAAAGCTGTCTACTTTTTTAAGTAAGCCATACTGGAACAGACCTCCTTGGGTGTCACTAAAACCTCACTTTTTTGCTTTGATGGAAAGTCTTTCAAGTTATTCTGAATATTTGTTTCGCAAGAACAAATACATGAAGTTAAATCACAGGTCACCAACACCCATTAGAGAGGTAGCACGTAATATTCATACGACTGTTTGTGGAACCTTGCAATGATTCGTTACTACCA